GAGAAAGGAGAAGGTTTCGAGGGGGGGGGAATAAAGGCCACCTATATGTCTGAGCGGCCCACGGAGCTCCGCCCTTTCGCCCCTCGCCCATTCACAAACCAAACAGGGGGCGGGCCGTAGAATCTCCGCGCCTGCCAATCGCGCGCTCTGTTGTCTTCACAACCCGGTTTGGAATTGGGTAGAAAGATAAAAGGCTAGGAGGGGAGGGGAGGAATGCGGGCCGGTCCAGTGGTGGTGGTGGTGGGGATTCCTCTGCTGAAAAGTTGAAAGAAACTTTCTCCCCGATTCTTGAATGAAGGGGAGGGAGGCCAGGCCGGGCGGCGGGAGAGAGAGAGAGAGAGGAGAGGAATATATATATGTAACGAAAGAAAGAGACCAGAACAAGGTTAGCTCGGATCGGGTTTATTATCCATGCTCCAAATAATCCTGTTTTCTTCGTAGAAATGAATTTTCCGCGAACCCCAGTGCTACTTTCCTTCCGATCCTGTAAGATCGGAATGACGGTCTGGGTGGTCTGAAAGAGCTTCCCAATACTATTAATTTACTGAAGTCCTTCCAGACAAACTTCGCATGAGGTTCCCCACCCCTCCCTAGATATGTTCAAGAACAGGGTGTAAAAAATAATAGGCTATGCTTTATACATGCTGTTGTTTTTAAAAGGAGAAGTGGAGAATAAATGTCAAGAAATAATAGAATGATCAACCGTGCCAAAGAGAAAATAGGCTGACGCTCTAAGTGGCTTGCTATCTTTTTTTTTTTTTTTAAAAAGGATTTTATTTCTGTCATCACCACATTGAGGGCTATTATAATTTGAACACAAAATGGATGTGTGGTATATACCTGCCTTGGCATGCCATATAAGTGACTACTTTTGAACAGCTCCATTAAAATAACTGGAATATTCAGACAGCGATACCCGTTTCCTTGTGAGACATTTTATCTGTAAGGAAAGTTATTTCATACTGCGAAATTTACATGCTGCAGACTAAACAACCGGATAAAGCTCGGTTGACTAAATATACACACTGGAATTTAGTCTAGTCCCTTCATGTACCCATGAAGGGACGAGACTAGTACCAATCGGAAATTAAATGAGAGTTAATTAAATGATATTTAATTTAATGATCTAATGATATTCTCCTTTCTTGTGGAATTGTTTCAGAGTCTTCTCTCTGTGTGTGTCCTATGCCGTCAAGTTGGAACCGACTTATATGACCCTAATAGGGCTGGAAAGATAATTGAGATATTTTAAGTGCTGTTTTTACCAGTTCCATTTCCCCAGTTTCCATGGCTGGGCTGGGATTCGAACCCTGTTCTCCAGAGTCCTAATCCATCACTTTAGCCACTCTACCACACTGGAAAAAGAGTCTTTAGTAATCCGACCTGATGACATGATTTGAAGAGGACAGCAGTTTCCACTGGAATCCTTTGGCTTGAATCATTATTAGTATTGAAACAACTCCATCTAGTTATAGTTCTACTAGGGCTTTATTCTGGATACAGACAATTATGTTATAGCTGCTCCTCTACCAGGATCTCCCCCTTACTGTAACTGCATCATTCACAGTAGCAGTGGTGATGGTGATCAAACTTCCTAGCTGCATTTAATTTTTTCAAGACACCTCTCATTGTGCACAGTATTTTTGGGCAGCTGGGTCTTGAATGGAGCCATCAGGATTCATTCTTTTTAAAATGACATAGCTCTGGTTAAATGTCGATGGCTAGAAATGGTTTGTTGAAATGAACTATCCTTCCTTCCTGGATTGTCCTTGGGGCCATAGCTACAGGGATTGTCATGATGAATGCCCTCATTACAACATTTACCATGGCCATGTGTTAAGTATGTCTCTTAAGTGCTCCCATCCCCCGTTATCACTGTGTTGTACCCAGAAAAGTTCATTTTATTGCAGCAGCTTTTCTCAATTGAAAAGTGCAGGAAAGTTGTTTCTGAATAACAAGCGGCATTTATATTTAGCTGACATACAATCTGAGTCAAATATGCTTTATATATTAAATTAAATAACAGCTTAATCCGAGCCCGCCTTTACAGCTAAGTTTCCACAATAGAAAAAGGAAAGAGATCTGAAACAAGGAGGGCCATGGTCTTTTGTGAGCCTTCAGGGAAAGGATCTTATGCCTGTGGGCACCTTTGTGGGAGGCAACCCAGTGGTCCAGGATTTTTGCTTGCTTGCTTGCCTGCTGGTTACCTTCTTTTCCTTCCTTTCCTCTAGCGAGCTCACAGTGGCAAATGCAGATCCCCCCTTCCCTCCTTTGTCCAACAACAACCCTAGGAAGTGGGCTTGGCTGAAAAGAGAACAACTTGACTGGGGGCACCCATGAATTTCATGGCTTTGTGGGTCTTGGGGTCTCAACCTTTGAAGTCTACATCCAGGTGGGGAAGAAGTGTTCTGCACATACCTTGTGCTATTTTCAGCCCGATCTGTTATTCTTTCTTGTCCTCAAGCCCTAAACCAACTCCTTTAAAATAAAAAGCTTTTAAGTCCTTATCGTTGTTCATGTCAGAAAGAATCTAGTGGCGCTTCCCAAGTGGATGGATGAGCTGAGAGGGACCTGCCTTTGCCCCGGGGTTGCCTGAATGGGTTCACAGGCCTCCCATGCATGGGCGGGGGGGTTCCTTCCATGTCCCCCAGCTTCTCTAAGAGATCCTGTGGAACAGCCTAGACGAAGAATCTCTCACTTGCCTATGGCTACCTGGTGGAGCGTCTCTCCTAAAGAATAGCTAGCTACCTGAATCACTCGCTCCTCTCCGTTTGCCCTCTGGTCAAGAAAACATCAACCAGAAACCTTTTCGGTGGTGGCACCTTCGTTGTGGAACCGCCCTTTCTCTGGAGGTATGCCAAACCCTCTCCTTTGGCATTTTCAGAAAACTGGTTAAGGCAGAGTTGTATAAAGAGCCATTTTGAAAACATTCTTCACTGAGGGAATAATCATAGACCTGTGTTCAGCTGCCACCATATTCATTTTTATGCTTTCCTCCTTTGATTAATAGTCACATACTTATATTGTGTTACTACCTTGGTCTTTCTATTGTATTATTTATTGTGATTTTTGGGAGGGGGGGTTGTACACAATTGAGAGTAGTGACCTACCACTAAGTTTGGGGGTTGTGTGTAAAAACAAACAAATTCTTTGTGGCACAGCCACACCTAAGTGTGTAGATACTTTGCTATACTGTACTGATTTGTGTCAGCAGCATTTATAAGGCTTTCAGAAATGTAGTCATTATGTGTAGAGTATGACTATTATCTGGCTTTTAAGATCAGGCTCTGCTTTTGGGTCTCCCTTTTCATCCTCCTCTGCAGCTGCACTCACAGATGATGGGCATTCTCTCTTTGGAGAAATTCAGCAAACCCCACCTTAGGCTTGTTTTGAAAATGGTTTTTATTCAGGAAGGCCCTTTACTAACACTTTCTAAAAGGCAAGGCAGAACTCCCGAGAATGATTATGATAAGTTTGTTTGTTGCACCAGCCAAGAATGGATATTATAAAAATAAAATTGGGTTGGGGGGGGGGCAACAGGCAGGCAAGGGCATTTGCTCTGAGTTACACGAAGTATTCAGGCTTCCACCCATTCGGTTCTATTTTTTTCCATGTACCCAACCATCATGTCACAATATATATTTTTAATGAGGCAAGATTGGACTTGCTTCTGCGTTGATTTTGGAGAGGAATCTCTCTCGTCTCTTTATTTATAATTGCAGACCTCAGAGACACATCCTTTGTCTGTGGATAAGCAAGGTTAGTTGGTGCATTTTGAAAATGAATGTTCTCACAGCCACCCAGAGCTTAGTCCCAAGACGTTGTCTCACAGATATTACCACAGGGACATACCCATGGTGAGATCTTTGACTTGGAATCATTATGTTTAGCTCAAGTAAATCCATGTTCGCATTTGCTTCAGCTTAAGCAAATTGGGCTTAATTTGACACGTTTGGAATCTATGTGCTAGTGCCTGGCATGGGATTTTTGAAAACTTTCCCATAGGCCTGCATTTCTGCTCAAGCCTGTGTGCCGGTGAGAGCCAATGGATCTCATGGCCAGAGTCATGGAACAGGCCTTGGGTGACCTGCGTTCAAATCTCCACTTGACTATAAAACTCATTAGGTTAGTCAATCCCTCTCTCTCAGCTTGAACTACCTCATAAGGTTGTTGTGACAATAAAATGGGGAGGAGAAGAGCTATGTATAGTCCCTTGAGCTCATTTGATTATGACTAATATATTGAAGTGGTGGTCCTTAAGGTTCCACAGGATTCTGTTGTTTTACTTATTTATTATTTGTCTTATTTATGGGCAGCCTTTCTCCCAATAATGTACTTAGTGTTCTAGTATTTGTTTTGAAATGGATGGCATCACTACAGAGGCCTGGTTATCCCTTTATTTTTCTCAAGGCTCCAAATGATCTCAATTTCTAAAAGAGCTATACCAAAAATTTAAAGTTCCTTTGACTAGCTTTATAAGGGAACGTGGATCTGTATTCTCGAAGGCTTTCACGGCCAGAATCCAATGGTTGTAGGTTTTTTTGGGCTGTTTGGCCATGTTATTAAGGTTTTTCTTCCTGAAAATGTGAATCATTTGGGTGGAACAGAAATGAGGGCGCTGTGAACCTTCAGCAGTTCTTGATCTCTGTGTCCACCAGCGATTGCCCCTATAGCCAGTGGAGATGCTCTATGGGTTGCCAGCCCAAAAACCTCTGGAAGATAACAGGCTCCTCACCCCTGGATCAGAACTTTGTGTAGCTTTACTTGGACCACCAAAATATGCCCATTAACCTTGGTGTAAGCCCCAGCTGGACTTCTGAGCAGACATGCTCAGGGTTATGTTGCAAATCTTTGATTTTTTCCAATTCATACTTTGTAAACCCTTGAAGCATTTCTGTTCAACAGGAAACAAGAATAATTCTGGGCAATAGATAAGAAGTACTTGTTTTAATATCTTGTCCTGTATATGTTTATGCAGGAGTAGACCAGCCTTGTCTGTGGTGTAACTCTGCATTAATGTGTATAGGATTTCCACCATACCTCACATTCCTTAGTATGTTTTCTTGCAGCTCCCACAGGATTCTGTGGTATTATGATATTAAGTGCACATAAAAACAGAATATTAGTGTTTTCATTGTAATATCAAGGTGGAAGGAGTGTGGCCCTCTGGATGTTGCTGGACTGCAATTCCCAACATTCCTCACTATTGGGAATGCTGGCAAGGGCCACAGAAGTTCACCAGAGCATGGAAATTATAAAACACTCCTTGAACATCTCACACACCTTGAAAATCCTATTAAGATCACCATAACTCAGGAGTGTTTTGAAAGCATTCAACACAGCAAATCAAGTCTGGGCTTTCATTAGAAGCTGAACTTTCCAAATTGAAGCTATTGTACTTTGAACTTATGATGCAAAGACAGTTGTAAAAGATATTAATGACAGGAAAAGTAGGAGGCAATAGTAAAAGAGGAAAACGTACAATGAGATAAACTGACTCAATTTTTAAAAAGCGCTATGGACTTAATTTGCAAAAGCTGAGTAGGGCTGATAATGACAAGATCTTTTGGAGATCATTAATTCACTGTAAATTGGAAGTGAATTGCTGGCACATTAAAAACAACAGAATTGTTACACCAACCTGGTAAAGCAGAACAGCATTACTGTTGTTGTTGTTCCAGTATTACTACTGTGAGGCTGAGAAAATATTATTACCTAGCATTATAATGTTATTTTGCAAGAGCTGGAAGTGTTTCACATTTATTGCCTTAGAAATGCTTACACAAAGGCTTCAAGGTATCAATTAATATCTAGATTCTGGAAATTGCAAGGTTGAGAGACGGTGTCTCCCCTGCGGCTGTGCAGATAAGTTGATGGCTAAGTGAAATTTCAGCTAGAAAGTTGCCACAACTCACATGCTTAGGTACCTATAACACTGTCTGCCGTGGAATTTTGAAAAAGACAACAATCTTTTAGATAATTTGCATAAATTGGCATTGGATTTATATTCTTATACATTGCCTTGGAGCGGTTTTTAAAATGTGTTAAACAATAATTAAAGAGGTGTTCCAAAGAGTGGAATAATAAGGTCCTTAATTTTTGTTTGCTTATTTTTGTGCTACAGCACCGATTCTGGAAGAGAATGGTAGTTATATTCTGGCAATTAGGGAACTGGGGTTGCCTGTTCCAGATTCAGAACTAGGGATTCAGTCCTTGAAAGGAGGAGGATCCATACACCAGCCTCCCTTCACTTTTTTTTTAAAATTGTTGCCTCATTCACTCTGAATCAATACAATGCAATAGCCAAGGGGCTGCATTTTCACATCTTTATTCTGATAATGTTGTGACCCTCTCTGTCTCTTAAGGGATAGCTGTGCTTTTCTAGTGTAGACAAAAGACTGTGCCATTGTTACCCCTCAACCCTGTGAATGGTTTCATTTGAAGGACCAATCTGGCAACCTTTCTGCCAGGCACTTCACCTTTGGTGTTAACTCCCACCATTTCCTGTCCTTTGCTTTCCACACTTTTAACCTCTTACTTTTTGGAATCTTGGCCAAAGCTTGGCTGAGGGAGTTTTTTGAATTAGAACTCTCCAAATCCCGGCAGGCCAAGCCATGGAATTGGGAAGGCAAAGAAACTCTGGGTGATTCCTTCTCATGGAAAGAGAGGACAAAGAATTCTGTCTGTCCAAGAGGAATTTGGGGATTTGATGGACTTGACAAGGCCAGATATAAATATACTCCAAAGGTGACAGGGGTGAAAGTACTGGCATTCTTTTCTGGAGACTTCAGAAATAAATAGTTTGCAAAACCTGTGCAAATAGCTTGAAACTCCCTTGAGAAGAAGAAGTTGCAAATCTGGGTTGATGAGTTCAAGAGGCTTTAAAACATACTGTAAATAGTCCACTTTTCATAAGGAAGGGGATTTCCCCACCCTAAAAATTCATCCCCACCCCCACTATAGACTTCTGCTTGAAAGACAGAATTGGTTTGCATACTTGAGACGTCAGATGGCCACTATATTAGGTATTGGTTGAGAAAGAGTTTCCTGTTTTAGATGGGCTGTGGATATAGTGTTTCTATTTCCTATTTTTTTCTTTCCTGCTAATTTGTGACAGGACTTTTTTCTGGTCCAGTTCACACCTTCCTGGTTAGATTTTTCTTGACCTCCAGTTCAAACTTGCCCTGTGACTCGCCTTTTCCTCCTCCTCCTCCTCCAACTTGCTACTTTTAACAGGGCAGGCCCTACCATTAGGCAGAATGAAGCAACTGCTGACAGCAACAGATGCTGCAGTGGCAACAATGGCAGTCATGCCCTAGCTATTTCTGCTGGGTTTCCAGGCCATTCCTCTTGGCTGGAAAACAAGAGTGTGCTGCAGGGTCGGTCTGCAGT